CAAGAACTGAGGAGACAAGGGGCTCCATCAAACTGTACAGAGGTCATCGGGAAAATTTTTTAAATGTGTTACAAAATCAAATTTGAACCTGTTAAAGATCACTTAGCTTCAGTATTGGAAATCCCACCAAGATGAAGTCAACAGATATTACAGAAATTGAGGGAAAGAGGAACCTAGAATCATTCCCAGGTCTCTGGGCAGCTGGGGAGATGGTGGCACATCTGACGAAAAGCAGATTTTAGTGATCACGTAAGTCGGAGATGACTGTAGGACATAAGAGGAAATATAAACAGACACTGGATGTGTGGCCCTGAAGCTCAGGAAAGAAGTCTGGACTAGAACTATAGTTTCGGAATCTGCAACGTAAAAGTGGTAGTGCACAGATCTGAAAAACCTGAGCCACCTCATGATTAAGACCTCAGTGAGAAATCAAAATTGAAAACATTAAAATCCTCTACTAAGTTAAAAGCCCCAAACAATTCTTTACTCCCCATTCATTTCTTAATCTCAGACTGGGGGGGTCTGTCTTAACTACCTACATTCTTTCAGTAGCTGCCATCTAAACTGTCTTTTACTGAAATGGGTGTAATTCCTTAGGATATCCAAGGATGAATAAATGCAAACTCATTTCTCATATGTTCTGCATTTAACAGTGTCCAAAGTGTTAACAGGACACCTAAGATTATCGCACCAGTAGCCCTTCTTTCATAAAGTTTACAATCGTCACCCCTACAGGACCAAGCAAAATTAATTCACAAAAGGAAGTATAGTCCAGGACATTACTATTGCCTGCTAATAACCATGGCATAGATTTTGAGTCATCTTAGAGAAAAAGGGTAGAAAGAAAAGGCACAAGAGGAGAAAAATGACGACTTTGGCCTCATTAGGACTGATTATAAATGCCATGGGTGTATTACATTGTGAATCCAGACATATGACCTCCACTGGGCCCTCCGGGGAGGCAGAGAGGTCAGTGAAGATGAGAATTGAAAAGAGTCCTGTATATTGGACCATTAGCAAGTCATTATTGACCTTACTGACCTTACTTGCAAAGGAAGATAGGAGTAGAGGTCCAATCGTAGTGGGTTGAGAAGAGAATGAGAAGTGAGAAAGTACATGGTTAGTAGAAAGGGCTATGGTCTGAATGTTTGTGTTCCACTAAAATTCCTATGTTGAAATTCTAACACCCAGTGTGATGTTATGTATTAGGAGACAGGGCCTTTGGGAGGTGCCTAGGTCATGAGGGTAGAGCCTTCATGAATGGGATTTGTGCTCATACTATAAGAGACCCCACAGAGACCTCCTGCCCCTTCTGCCAGCAAGGACACAGTGAGGAGCTGGCTATGAACCTATGAACCAGGAAAAGGGCTCTCACCAGAACACGACCGTACTTGTGCCATGATCTTGAACTTCCCAGCCTCCAGAGCTGTGAGAAATAGATTTGTTTATAAGCTACCTAGTCTGTGGCCATTCTGTTATAGCAGCCAAAATGGGCCAGATAGGGCTCTTGCACAAAGAAACTGGAATAAGAATTCAAAAAGACAAGAGAGTGTTGTTCGCTTGCTTTTGCTTTTTTTTTTTTTTTTAGGATGAGAACAGATTGAAGGCTACTTCGTACTGAGGAGGAGGAGTCAGTTAAGAGGAAGCAGCAAGGTTCCAGAGGAAATGGAGGATGGGACCAGGAGCATCTTTTGAAACTAATGGTAAAGATGCTGAAATCAGTCAGTACTTTTAAATGGCAAGTGTCAGAAGCCCAGCTCTAGTGAGCTTATGCAGAAAAGGAAAGTTATGATTTAAGAGTTGAAGCCGGCATCAGATTAGGCTCACATGAACCAGTAGTCTCTCTCCTTACTCTCTCTTGCTCTCCTCTGGGTTGGCTTTATTCACAGGAAGGTTATCTCTGGGAGATGCCAAAGATGGCCAGCAGTCTAGGCTCACATTCTATCAGGAACCCTAACAGGCCAAGTACTCTTTTTTGTTCAAAAGTTACGGTAAAAGCCCTGGCAATGACTCCTGCTGGACCATCCCTTAATGAAGCCAGCTTAGTAGAGCCTAAGTATCATGCCCACCTTCATGAGCTCCACACAAACCATTTGAATTGCAAGTAGGGGTAGGGAAAACCCCCAAAGAAAATCAAGGCGCAGCTACCAGAAGACAGGACATGCATGCTAGGCAGGCAAAAACAGCAGAAGGAAGGAGGGTAACAGAAATAGAAGTCACACAGAGTTGTCTTAAAAGATAAGTAGGGGGCAGCTGGTTAGTTCAGTTGGTTTGAGCGCAGTGCTCATAACACCAAGGTTGCCGGTTTGATCCCCACATGGGCCACTGAGCTGCACTCTCCACAATTAGATTGAAACAACTACTTGACTTGGAGCTGATGGGTCCTGGAAAAACACACTGTTTCCCAATTTTAAAATAAATAAATAAATAAAATATTTTTAAAAATAAGTAGAAATTAATCAGGAGAGATACGAGGGAAGGGAAGAACCAACACTGAACAATAGTTAGAGTGGAAGCTACCATGACAAAAGGAATTTTGACTCAGACTTGCAGCTCAAAGGGGGTGGGGGTGGGGGAGCAATTTCTTATATAAAAAAGAACTTTTATTACTCGAATTTCCTATCATCAGACAGCATTATGCTGTTACCAATATATTCATTCTGGTATATTCACTTACTCCTAAAGAGTTTGGCCATTAGAAAAGCAGAGTTAGTTGCTGCACTGACCTCACAACCTTTAGCTATGAAAGAACCCTTTATATTTCAGAGTCATTAAGGAACAACAGGGTTTTTATTTTGTTTTGTTTTGTTTTTTAAAGCTCTGAGTTTCAAGCTTCTTCTACCAAGAACTGACTCCTTTAAGCTTCAGGTTAAATTTGAAGACCACTTCAGAAGATATTCCAAAGTTTCCATCTTTCCCGTGTTACACAAGCAATGATACTTCACTTTCCCATTTCTAGGTTCTCTATTCATTCTCCATCTCTTAAACACAAAGAAGACTACTATCCTTCAAAGCAGCATCTCCATGTAGCCAAGTTTCTGGATCCAGGTGAGGCAAACTGTAGGTCAAGCCAACCCCTAAGCTCTCTCCTAAGGACTCTTCATCTTGGACTACTCCACTTTCAGGAATAGTTTAATACAATTGATCTGTGCTTCTATCCCAAACGGATTGCCATCAGTGGAAGAAAACAAGTTGTCTCTGATGTGCCCACTCTAGGGTTCTGTGGCCCAAGGTGGCATGGACCCACCACATGCATTACCACATCTGGCCTCCTCCCTTCAGGTTGAGGAAGAGCACATGAGTAATGTCTTCTGAGCTGGGCTATTGACAAGGAGCCTCCTTAAACCTCTCAGCCTTTCCATAGTTCAAGTCCTCGGAAAACACAGAGGGTGCCAAAAAAATGTACACACATTTTAAGAAAGGAAAAAACTGTATTAAAATTGTAATACTCAATATATACCGATAACAAAAGATGAACACAAGTCATGTGTACACATTTTTTTGGCACCCCTAGTATTTTTCAGATTCCATGAAAGTCATGTGATTGGTGCCAACTGGGTATGAACGTTAGAATTTTTACCCATTAATCAAATACCTGTATTTGACATACAGTTTTCAGAGGGAATGTTATAATTCTGCAGTTTTAAGTTTCCATGTTTTCAAGTGATCTGAGAAGCCAAAGGCCCAGATTAACATCTGGAGGCCATGCTAATATCAACTTCAGATGTTAAGGTTAGAAATAATGTAAGTTCCTGACTTTGTATGTAAATGTACAACTGTTCCCCCACCATTGGCAGAGCATGGAGCTTGATACTAAGCCATCCACACCACCTCACCGTCCCCCCCGGCACTGTCAGCTTGCAAGCGTTTCCAAAATGCCCAGCTGAATGCAACCTGGGACACTGGGATACAACAAAGCCAAGTAGCCCTGCTGATAATTGATTTCACCCTGATAGGATCAGTATGGATGGAGAGAAATGAACAATACAGGATAAATCATCTTTCTGAGGTCAGGTATACAGGGTACTAGGTCTGTCCCGTTTCATGCATCTGAAACCAAACTCTCTCCTGTAAAAGTACCTAAGGAAAGAAAAGAAAATTAAACAGCCACTTACCAAGCACATTTTCCAGGAAACAGGGTTTCAATATTGGTGAAATTTTAGATAAGAATTTAGGGTGATTCTTCTCTGTTAACTCCCTTAGCACTCTCCCCCATCCCTAAAGTCTTTCATAACCATACTAGTATTTCATGACATCAAAAGTGAAAACAATGCAAGTTGCTTTTGGTATAAATGCTGGAAACTGTCTCCTATTACTTGAACAAAGGATTTAGACTTCCACGTGTAAAACAATCGTGGCCTCTTTTCTAGGCTTTGTGGGTATAACTTTCATGAGTCAGTTAGACCACCACAGTAATTAAAGAGAATAGTTCTTAGAATGGAACACACTGTTTCATGAGTTTGGATAGAGCTTTATCCTGCGTGCTTGAATGACGAGGATAAAGTACTATATTGCAGATTTCAAGTTTCCTTACTCCCTCGCCTCCACTCCGGTCCTTTGAAAGATGATATTAGCACAGTCTCCAAATATTAATCTGGGGCATTGGCTTCTCAGATCACTTGATAACGTGGACATTTAAAGCTGCAGGATCCTAACATCCCCTCTGAAACCTACATATCGAATACAGGTAATATTTGATTCATGAATAAAAAGTCTAATGTTCAAACCTAACGGGTACCTTAATGCCACATGTTCCTTCAGCTTTGATCACATTACCCTTTCCTATCATGCTATAGCATTCCCACATTCATTTTTTTATGTCAAGACAAACTTCGTGGCCCTCTGTTAAGAGAGCTTGCTTGAGGCTGGCTTTTGTTAGTATTTCATGTCCCTGTTCATTTTACCTGCACTCTGCCCTTTCATGTGGAAACCATCCTTCATATGAGCTCCAAAGGTTTTTTCAGCCACCTTCTCTTCTAAAGCCCCTAAGTAAGCTCTCTCGTGCATGCATGGGTATGGGTACGGATGACACAGTACTCGAAATGTACACAGTGTGTTGTGAAATATATTGATATGTTATTAGTTTTATTCCAGGCAAATACATTTAACCGAATTGCACATTACATTGCTATTGAAGTTAGATAGAAAATCCCACCACGTAGGACTTCTGAGGTTTGGTGCAGTAGTTTATCTCGATGGGCTCATCTACACAGTCAGTATAGTCGGTGTTACACATGCCACACCTACAGCTCACAGCTACAGGATAGGAAAAATAAGGAGCCACATGGTGTGGGCATCCTGGTATTTCTACCGTCTTGTACGTGAAGTCTCCATATGTACAAACATCCTGGGACAGAACATATTTGGGGAGAAACAGCTTGCCATTGACATCCTGAAGAAAGAACAGGAAAAGGAGCACAGTGTGATAGGATTTTAGTACACATATAGATCATGGAAACAAAACTTAATTCGATTATATTCCTTTGTCACAAATAGGACTGGGGGAAGATCCCTTAGCCCCATTTCCCAACACCAACTCAACACATCCTCACTGAATTCCATGGAGACAAAAGTGGCACACACCCCCTTTTATCCTTGATCATGGGAACAAGATAAGGTTTAAATCAAGTTTGGAAGTAAATTATCTGTTAGAAAATTATCTTTACCCGTTGTGCCGAGTAGATTCATATAATATTGTAACCAGTGCACTCTACCTCTAAGGAGCCAATAACCATTATATTTGGGGAATTAGGTTGTGATTTATCTCATTTATTTTCTGGATAGAAATGGACAGTGTCCAGGTTTATCTAATTTACAGCTGAAAGAAGTGAGATGAACTACATACCCGTGTCATACAATACCCAGCGCAGATGGTGGTATTGATGGTTAGGCAGTAAGCACATTCTTGCCTGTCAACATGCATCATGTAGTCAGTTGGAATACAAAACGACGTTGCTTGTCCACATGCAAGGCCAAAAAGAACGGACATCAGAAAGATAGCACTCATGCTACATGGAAGATAAAATTAAAAATCTATTAGATGTATCATTTAGGGCATTCAGAAAAGGACATTTGGAAAGAGATTAAAATACATATTTTGATACACATATGTATGTATGCACACACACACAGTCTGACAATTAAATTCGCGAACTTGTTGCAATGCTGTTGCTAACATTTTCTGATATCAGAGTGGTTATTCATTATGAATTTGTACCAACTGGACAGCTTACCAAGTTTACTATTTGGTAGTGCTGAAAAAGCTGCGTGACAAAGTTAGACAACCTGAACTTTCGCCAACAATTCATGGCTCTCGCATCATGACAATGCACCAGCTCACACAGCACTGTCTGTGGGGAAGTTTATAACCAGTAAACAAATAACTGTATTGGAACACCCTCCCCACTCACCTGATCTGGCCCTCAATAACTTCTTTATTCACCCAAAATAAAGGAAATATTGAAAAGAAGACATTTTTATGACATTCAGGACATCAAGGGTAATACAACGACAGCTCTGATGGCCATTCCAGAAAGAGTTCCAAAATTGCTTTGAAGGGTGGACTAGGTCCTGGCGTCAGTGCATAGCTTCCAAGGGGCGTACTTCAAAAGTGACCATAGTGATATTCAGCAATGAGGTATGTTGCACTTTTTCTAGGATGAGTTCACGAACTTAATTTGTCCAACCTCGCATAGTGAGCACTTGAGCCAGGCACTGAGATATACAAGATGCATAAGCTATCGTCTTTGACCTCAAGGGCTAGTGGAAGAAATAATTATGAGCACTAATAATAAAAATACACATTGTTCTAAGTGCTCTGAAAGAATCCAAATTATGACTCTAAAACCAACAATTATCAAAAATTTCTTCTGTATAGACAAGAAAGCGAACTAACCCATTAAGAAAGGTTTTCTGGTGAACTCTTGTAAATAAAATGTTGCATATGCAATCATGGCTTGGAGATGTCTCAAGGTATTTCTATTAGCAGGGTAAGATAGAAGAACTTTTTGCTCAGGGCGTCTAGTTTTCTCCAGTATTCCACAAATGAGAGCTCCCCCTATGGTAAAGTTGGTTCCATTATTTTAGAGCCAGACTTAGAGGATCCTCTGCAGAATCTTAAACATACTAACTGAGTAAATTGTATAAAATACTCACTTGTCATGAGCATATGGTTCTTGCCTGTCTAGCCAGCCAGCTACTGGATTTTTCCCATAGGAAATAATTAACTTCACATATTTTAATGTTTAGCTCTATGATTCTGTACAAAATAGGTGTGTGGTGACCTAGTGGTGAGAATATTGGTCCTAGAGAAAAGGAAAAGAATTCTATTTCAAGACCTCCTGTGGATCTATGAGAAACTGACTAAAATATTTAATCTGCCTGGGCCTTATTTTCCCATCCACAAAACAGAAAGAGACAAGTATGCCTGACCCTTTTTTAAATTGTAGGATGAAAAGCTGTTTGGGAACTTCTAACTATCATTGTCATATTCAGGATGGACGCTGTATCTTTTCAAAGTCCCTCTTATAAGTGTAAAACTCTAAAATAACAACAAAAAAATTAAAAGTGCTAAATTATCAGCGAAGTAGCTGTATAACTTTGTGGATGTAAGGAAAGTAGGTATTATCTTTTCTCCTTTATTGCAAATAGGAAAATTTCACCCACAGAATCTTTCTGGGCTTCAGTTTCCTCATCTAGAAAAGAATGATCAGATGATTAGAACCAGGAGATGATCAGGAAGGACTTTTCAGCCCAAACAGTCTGTGAGTCTATGTGATAAATTAATGTCAGACTCCATGTCTAAGAGTTAATGATCTAGAATTCTGCTTCCAGGTTCAATTGCAATTGTGTGTAACTGAGCAATTGAATATCTTTGGACCTTCATTTTTCCATATGCCCCTTACTAAATTCATACAAAAGAATAAAACAACCCATGTGAAGCTCTCAGCATGCTAGAGAAGACTATGTAACTATTCCACAATTTCTCTTTTATCACCTGGATTCTCATCTCTGTAACTTAATTGCCTCTGAATTATTTACTGAGCAGCTAAACAAAGAAGGCACGATTAGAGGCCCTAAATAAGGAGACATGTCTTTTTCAGTGGCATGACCATATATGTATACACTTTCAATGTTTTTCCTTATTCTAAGATATCTTCTTTTTCCCCCCTTAGTTCACCTTTTCTCTTTTTTTTTTCTCTCAGTGCCTTTATTCTTAGTAAACACGTTTCTCTCTGCTCTACTAATTTCCTTCACCAAACTTTTCTATCCAAATCCCTTACTATACTATAAAAAGAATCAACTGCCCACCCCATAAACAATCCAGGAACTTTCCTAAAGCAATACATTTTTCTAGAAAGCAAAATGTACTATAAGGCAGGTGTGTGCCTTGGATACTATGCAAGGTGATTTAGCTATTAAATAACTAAAATAATACACAGTAAATTACCCTCGTGGGTAATCAAAATTGACATACTCTAAGTTTTCCCAGAAGTATATTATCATCAAAGATAACCATTACTAATTGACAGGATTTAAAAACAGATTATCCAATTGACAAAAATATTTAAATCAAAATGCAAACAGGAAGAGAACTCCATGAACATCAATCAGCTTTCATTAGGGAAATAAATAGTTGTTCCTCTTCCTTTAAGTCAATGGAATTTTTTCTTATCCTTATGCATGTAATCTCCTCAACTTCATGCAACAGTGAGCTATTTGGGAGCAATAATTAAAATTCTTAGAGCCTATCCATGCAAATTATCACTCAGCATTTGTCATTTCTTAATAAATGCTAAAAGAGTGAAAGTAAAAAAAGTTAGAATAAGAGCATTTCCTTTCACAAAGCCTTCTCCGTGTAGACACCTACCTTACTTTGCATTGGTGAGCTGATGCTGCAATGACTCAGGCTAAAAGCTCTTGGTTCATTTTATACCCTTTAAGATAATTCCTCTCTAATCTTCTTGTTTATATAATTGCGTTTGAATTACAGCTTCCTTATCTGAAAACATCTATTGAAAATTCATACTGAACCCCAAATAAAATGTGTTTAGATAAACATTTTCACAACACCTTCCTCTGGAAACTCTGACATTATTGCCGCATAAATTTTCCTCTCTCCTGTTTCAAAATAAAGTTACCCTTTTAAATATATCCTTCAGTAATATTATTAGTATTAACAAAGGATATACAACACAGGAGAAAATAAAAAAAATTAACATCATCTAAGTAAGACGTGGGAATGAAAATTTACTTGGGGCTCCAGTGCACCAAATTTTAACTACATGCCCATTTAGAGATACATAAGATTACTGCTCATCTACAAAGCACAGGCAACTTCTTCATGGAAATCCAGGATGATTGGAATATATGCTGCTGCCTAAAACAAACCAAAAAATTAAGTAGTTAAAATTATTTTAGGGCGGCCAGTTAACTCAGGTTGTTAGAGCACGTGCTCTTAACACCAAGGTTGCCGTTTCGACCCCCCACATGGGCCAGTGAGCTGCGCCCTCCACAACTAGATTGAAGACAAAGACTTGACTTGGAGCTGATGGGTCCTGGAAATAACACACTGTTCCCCAATAAAGTTTAAAAAAAAATTTTTCATATATACATATTTTGTTTCTACTTTGAATTAAAAAAATAATAAATAAAATTTATGTGTGAAACAACAGTCATTTAAGTAAATGACCCAGTCTGACAGGATGTCAAACTGATCTGGGATCAAATCCTGGCTCTGCCATTTACTAGCTATGTGACATTGATATGCTTGAGCTCTCTTTACTTCAGTCTTCATTTATTTAATGGTAACATCATTGTTTGTGTAGAGCACTTAATGGTGTCTGGCATATAAGTGTTCAATAAATGATAGCTAATTTATAATAATTCAACATTTTTAATTTAACAAATACCATATTTTGCCATGTATAATGCTCACCCATGTTTTTGGCCCAAACTTTCAGGGAAATGGGATTAGTACTACGCATGTATAATGTGCATCCTTATTTTTCTCTCACAAATTTGGGCACAAAAAGTGCACATTATACACAGCAAAATATGGTATTTAGTCACAGTGCCTAGTACATAGTGGGCACTGTGTTCTATTTGTGAAAGGCATAAATGGCTAAAGAAGTGCATGAATAAATAATTATTGAATTTTTTTAAACTAACATATACTTTTCTCCATCTCCATAGTTATAACTCAGTTTTACCCCTTTCAATCCATTTGCCTCACTGTAACAAAATATGCCGAAAGTTCAATGAGAATTTCCCATTGCCCTCAGAATAAAAGTCCAAACTATCATTTACAAAGTTTTTCACAATCTATTTTATATCTCTAGTTTCATCTTTCCCATCTCCCATCTCTGTCCCCATCTTCTCCATCCTTTCCCCCCTTTTCTGTGTTCTTTAGCCAAACGGAACCAAGTTTCTCAAATTAGTTACATACTCTTATCTCCAAGTCTTTTCATATGCCAGTCCCTCTGTGTGGAACATCTGCCTGACCCCCCACTCCATGCCTCCTCTCACCTAACTCCAACTCATTCTTCATGGCTTCACTGAGAAAGCACGCCTTCTGCAAAGCCTTCTCTGAGTCCCTAAGGCCCTCCTCATGCTTCGCTGTTTTAAGAGAATGAGAGAAAATATATAGAACGTCTGACACATAATAGATGCTCAGTAAATCATATATATTATTACAGATTATTGACAACCCCATTAGTCTTTACTTGTCCTCGTATTTATTGTTAATGAGAGTTAATGAAAAAAAAATGAGGCCTGGTATAGGCAAGTCTCCCTGGAGGCGGGATGAAGAAGTCAAGGCAGAATTTGGGATATATACCAGAAATAGCCATGCCAAGGGCCCCCAAATCTTGGGAATATGAGCTACTACGTAGTAAGAAAAGAACTCTGAAAACAGGTAAACTGAAAATGAGGATGCCCAACTCAACCTGTTTCATGTGATTCCAGGCAAGATGGTAAGAAAACAGTACAGTAACTGGGAATGTTAGATGTTTGTTTCTAATGGAAGTAGTGCCTCTGTTGTATAAAATATTAATTCATGAACTCAGTTTCTAGCAGATTTGTGTGTATACACACACACACACACATACACACACACACACACATAATAGGTAACTGATATACACTTGGCCTACTACTAGAAGAAATAAAGAAAATATCATATATTTAGGTAATAGGGGCTCTCATGTATATGATCTCATACTGTTAAAAGAATCCAGGCAGAATGAACTTTCACTTCCAGACTGGATTTACTCTTCCATCTCAAATATCTATGAACAGAACAAAATACATGAAACAATGGTTCTACCCATATTGAACATTAGGTAACAAAGGAAAGTGATCCCAAATAGACAGGAAACAAACACAGGAAGTACAGCTTACTGCTTGAAGTAAGCTTCTGGCCTATGGTGCAGGAAAGGGTATCAAGGCAGAGACCAGAAGTGACCCCAGATTGAAGAGATGGACTTGGGAGGCCATGGAACCCAAGGCACCTGGAGTTCACAGGGAAGAGTATTAGAGAGGAGAGAACTGCAGAGAGAGAGAATTGTGGAGATGTGCAGAGGATCTCTTTGAGTATTCAGCTAAAACTGATAAACTCATGCATGTGAGGAAACCAGAGGAGGCTGGGGAAAGAAATATCTCAAAGGATTAAAGAGAACCGTTCTGGGGTTCAAACAAAGATAGGCACAGGGCTTGTTCCAACCAGCAATTGTGGGAAATTTTTTAATATGTGGAAAATCAGGTAGTATATTTAGAAGTGTTTTGCCTTAATAGTGGAGAAAAATTAGTCCTAGACTAAATGTTGTTGTGGCCCTGCTTAACAAAGCTTAAAAGCAAGATCCAAAAGGATCAACTATTTGCAAGGAACATAACTGAGTCCAAGAACACAGGTGAAGAATACTTATAGGAATGTGACAATATCTGACACCCAAAAAGATATAATCCACAATATGCAGCATTCAATAAATAATTACTAGGCATGCAAAGAAGCAGGAAAATATTATTCGTAATGAAGAGAAAATTAATCTATTAAAACTGACCCAGAAATGGTACAGATAATAGAATTAGTAGACAAAGGACAACAAAACATGACACCGCCCAAGGTACACAATAAGTTTCCAGTTAACTGATCCCAAAGAAATGGAAATGCAAGTAACTTAAAATATAAAAATTCTAATTAATTATTTTAAAGAAGCTCAGTGAGATTCAAGGGGACATAGATAACTCAATGAACTCAGGAAAATAATGCATGAACAAAATGAGAAATTCAACAAAAAGATAGAAATCATAAAAAAGAAAAATATAAATTCTGGAGCTGAAGAATATGTAAATCATATTGAACTCTGCATGTAAGTAAAAGTCAGAACTATTGAAAATAACCATAGCTATAATATTTTGTTAATGTAACACATATAAAAAGATGTACATTGGGGCACCAATAACATAAAATGGGGGAGGCAAGTAGATGTGTAAAACTTATTTATGCAAATGAAGTTAAATTGTCATTAGCTTAAAATAAACTGTCACAAGTATGAGATATTTTATATAAGCCTCTTGGAGTAATCACAAAGAAAAACCTATAATAGATACACAAGTGTTAAAAAGAAGAGAATTAAAGCATACCACCACACCAAAAAAAGTCAATTATCAAAGACAGGCTGCAGAAAAGGAAGGGGATAAAGAACTATAAAATAATCAGGAAACAGATAAAATGGTGATAGTATGTCCCTAAATATCAATAATTACTCAAAATATAAAATTGTTTAAATTCTCCAGTTAAAAGACATAGAGTGGCTGAATGGGTTTAAAAAAAAAAAAAACAAGACCCAATGATATGCTGCTAAAAAGAGACTCACTTAAGCTTTAAGGTCACTCACAGCCTCAAAGTGAAGGGACAGAAAAAGATATTCCATGCAAATGAAAACCAAAAAAGAACAAGGGTAGCATACTTATATCAGACAAAATAGATGGTAAGTCAAAACTCTAACAAGAGACAAGGAAGGTCACTATATAATGATAAAGGGGTCAATTTATGAAGAGGATATAATAATTATAAATATATACACATCCAATATTGGAGTGCCTAAATATATTAAACAATAATTAATAGATAAGAAGGCAGAAATAAACAGCAATGCAATAATAACATGGGTCTTAACTATCCCACTTTCAACAATGGATAAATCATCCAGACAGAAAATCAATACAGAAATAATGGACTTCAATTACACTTTACACCACACAAACCTAACAGACAATATACACAACTTTCCATCCAACAGCAGCAACATACAAATTCTTCTCAAGTACACAGATGATTCTCCAATGTGAATCATATGGCAGGTCACAAAACAAGTCTTAACTAATTTAAGAAGACTGGAATCATATCAGGCATCTTTTCTGACCACAATGGTATGAAACTAGATTTCAATAATAGTAGAAAAACTGGTGAAAATTCACAAATATGTGAAAATTAAACAACACACTCCGGGTCTACCAATGGGTTAAAGAAGAAATAAACCATTATCTTGGAACACATGAAAATGTAAACACAACATACCAAACCTTATGGAATGTAACAAAAGCAGTTATAAGAGGAAAGTTTACAGTCATAAATGCCTACATTGAGAAAAAAATATAAGGTCACACCACAGCCAAGTTGCATGAGAGCCCCACCCACCCATGCTGCAGCCATAGCCCTGCCATAACAAGCTGGCATATGCAACCCACAAAGGAAACACCCCTTGAGCACCAGTCTCTGATGGCCAGGGAGGATTGCACTTCTGGGCCCCATGGGACATCTCCTACACAAAACCCACTCTTTCAGCACTGGGAGATATAACTGATTTGCCTAATACATAGAA